GACACCAAAATATTTAACTGCTCAATTTTTCGGGCGCTGCTCTTGCCGCTGCCAGCCGATGAGGGGCGGGGGGCGATGGCGACGAGGGGTGCGGGCGTCATAACAAGGGGTTACACTTGAATTAGTCCAGTGGGATTGCAGTGCTCGAAGGGCGTTTGTTTGTTTGGCAATTGAAAGCGGAACGGGCCGCAGTCAGTGTGGCACTTTGTTCCCGTGTAATCACGCAGCAGGAGTTCGGATCCGTTGCGTATTGGCAACAGTATTGCAACAATTGAGACGTTCAATTGGCAACAACCACCCAGCCACCCAGTCAGACAGTCAGTCAGACAGTTACCCAGTCATCGAGCCACCCAACCACCGGAACAACAACCACCGCGAGTCGTTGACACTTCGTCTCTGTCCGCACGCTGGGCGCGCGATTAGTTTGGGAAGCTGCCTGCTGTGGCGCATCCGTAAATTACTATTGCGGTTCGATGTGGTTACCGGGCACACAATAGGGTGGGTGTGGCCGTCGCGACGGTCAGGGATAGTGGCTCAGGCCGAATCTATCCAGTTGTGCGTGTTGTTCTTTACTTTGCTTGCACTTGAAATTGTCAGCAGGTGCAGCGTGTGCACTGAAACAACAACAACAACAACAACAACACCAACACAAACATCAACAGAAACACAAACAGATACAGATACAGACACAGATGCATTAGTACAAAGATACTCTGCTAGAGATACAGTTTTATATGCGAGCGAAATCAATTTAAGCTGCTGCCATGCGATTGCCATGGAGCTCATGATGCCTTTATGTTTGGACCATTAACAAGCATTTCGTCGACTGTTTGTGCAATAAAAATGCAATTGTCATTAAGTGCCGGGAATATGTCACAACTGCGACGCTTCTGCCGAGCTGCCAGAGAGACAATAAAATTTGGCAGGACTCTGCGCCTGACCCAAACACTCGGCGTGTGCGCCGCTCAAGAGCATCGATAATCATGAATAAATAGCAGTTGCAATGCCATTGACTTTCTATACATGCGAAAAGCATTTGTAGTAAATTGTTGAGATGGGCTTATTTTAAGCTGAATAATTGAAAAAAAAAAAGAAAATATTTTCTTATTTTCGATTACAAATGAATAGAAATATATATTGTATTATATGTATATGTATGTAGTTTCTAAATAAAATATTAATTATT